CTTCTCATTCTATTTCCTCCTTTATTCTGCTATATCTTATGATGTCCTCCACTAAGAAATAATCAATTACTAGAAAGAACATTTGCTTTACATGCACCTGAATTCATCCTACTGTTTCATATCAGCTTATGTATACAACCCTGATCCAAATTTTAAAAGTGGCATTCAAAAGAAAAGAGATGGGCAGTAAAACATAAGCTTTCCAGCAACAGTTAAATTACAGTTTATATATGGTACTTAACATTATATTATATCTATTCCCCACAAGGACATATAGAAAGTGTTGGATTTTTTTTTTTAAAGACAGGAACTTTCTTTTCTTTACTTTCTTTTGTGATGAAACATAATGTAAATGGTACTAGTGAAGTAAGAGATACAAAGCGACTCAGAGAATTATCACAAAATTTGGAGATCCTCTATTTTATTCTCATCTGCTGTAACTATTAGTTACCCTGTTACTTTTTTTAAACAGACTTTGCTTACAAGGTAGTACTTTAAAAACAGATGAAGCAAACACACACAAAAATAAATTTTAGCAAAATTTGTGAAACTGCAGGATCAAATACTGCTTCCATTGTTTATGTTATGGTTGTAGCACCACTGATAGTACAAGTGATTACTTGAGTAAAACAGTGATTTATTGTACAGCTAACAACATACTTCTAATCCTTGAAGAAACTCAAGCATTTTTATTTAAAGCAGTAATATTCAATTTCATTACCTTAATGAGGTCCTCCCTGGATGCAAAACTTGAAACCAAGTGATTTTCCCCAGTTTTGGCGTTAGTGACTGACACATAGAGCCGGTTCTCAGCTCTCTCATGAGCATTAGAGGGAAGAATAGACTCTATGCCTTCTCTAGAGCAAAGAAAATGCTAAACATTATTCACCATCATTATTTAAAAACCTTGGAAATTTGTTAAGGGTGAAAGAGTGCTGAGCTTCCCCAAAATTATGCACACTCTCCATTTTCATTTAGAGAGCTTCACATAAAAATGATCTTATAAATGCATTAAGATAGGTACCTAAGTGTTTTCATAAAATCATAACCAGGCGTTACAGCACCAAAGTCCAATTTTCTAACTTCCTCGGCAAATCCATAGGCAAACTGCTTACATTTCTGCAAATTAAAATATTCACCATTAAGGATGTTTTAGTTATGGGAAGTATGTTCAACTGTGGTACCTAAAACATACTAGTGGCTAAAGCTTTAATTAAGAGAGCTATAAGATCGGACTAAAATATTTTCCCATATGTGCTTAGTTTGTAACCAGGTATGCATAACAAAATGTTTATCCTTTTATAAGAAATAATTTGTAAGAAAACAACATCCCTAATTAAATAATAATAAACTCATAAGAATACCGCTTTAACAATCAAGCAAAGTTCAAGGCCTTTTTTCTATGTATCACCACAGGTAAATAATCAGTTCTCTGAAACATGTCATTACAAGAACACTCATTTATATTTCAAGTGTAAAGCCACCTTTTATTTTAAAGACTACTTCAGTACTAAAACCACACACAAGTACCTTAAGATGCCTATAAGAATTTAAAAAATAACAATTATTGCAATTTCTTCTCACTAATGCAAAAACCATGCTACTAACAAATACACATATTTAATGAATAAAATATTATGGGAGTATTCAATGAATGGAATACTACAATGGAAGACAAAGGAAGAAAAGACAACTGCAGAAAACCAGACAACAGATTCCACTGCACAGAGAACCTCTTTTACGCAAGCTGAAATGCCTAGCATTAATGACTGCAGAAAAACAGCTTGAAGTGTGAGCCATAAGATCTCCAAAAGGAGAAAAAAGGAATAGGTAGCATTTCCTTTTTAGCAAAACGATTCTGTAACAATGAATTATCATTCTGAATGCTTAAGACTCACTATTTAGCATTTGTATTCCTTTTTTTATCTTTTCATGCAGACTTCTCTATGATTTTAGGGACTGGGGAAAAAACTAAATCCAATCTCATGCAACTTTCTGAAATTGGTATTTAATAAATACATTATACCCATACTCACCTACATAACCACGTTTACATAATAAAAGATCTGTCTATGGAAAGTTTGGGGTTCCTGGCCTATATTAGCTTCTTGCACAAAAAACAAGTATGTTGCTAGTAACAAAATAAATGATTGATGTGACTGGGGAAAGGGGAAAAAAAAATAAAGAGAGAAGCTAATGTGTCCTATTGAGGAGGACGGTACAGGATTTAATAGAAGGAAAAGGAAAGAGCTGGGGTGAGGATTACTATGAGATCAGGAGCAAGCTGGTTGGAGCAGTTTAACTTCCTCAAGTAACTTGTATGACAGAGCACTCACCTAAGTGAAATACAGAAACGTAGTTCTTGCATCCACTTTCTCTATATGGCCTTCGAATATATGTATCAAGAAAGTTCATTAAAAGATCCATACCTCTTAAAGCAACAAGCGCTGTAAAGATTTGTGCTAATTCATTTCACATAGGTTAGATTTGCACCTTCATCCTAGGAGGTAGGTGCCATTGCCAGTTCCAAGCCAATTAAAATATATTAAATTAGTTACATGTAGAATAAATTCAAGACTTGGTACATTAGGCACTTAGGCTTTTGTAGTCAATCAGCTGGAAAGGGCCATATTCAGAACACCTCTCTCTCTAAATAGAGAAGAAACCCACAAACCCTACATAGAAGCACCTCAGAATTACTATATTTAGATCTAAGATGCTTTAATAAAAGTGACAGGGAGCTAAGAGTAATAGGGAGCTGGATGAATCCAAACCTAGGTGAATGACAGAAAACTACTTTCCATACTACAAGTACTAAGAATAGACCACATAATTCTTGCTGCCAAAAGGGAATTTCTTACAGCTACAAATTGTTTATAGTGCTAGAAGCTTTAAACAATACATCTAAATTTTAAATAGTGACTGAGGACATGTTTAGAAATTGTAACTACTTGTACTGAGTTACGAAAACTTGACATCTAACATGATCAAGGTACTTTTGAAATAAATAGGTACTTATATATAATTCTATAAGCCTCCCTAGAATTTTCAAGTCCCATGCCTTTTCAACAGTGACAAAAATCCAAGATATGACTGAAAAACATTTTCAAACTGTCATGTTAGAATAGCAACAGTCAAAACAAGAAATCCACAATGTTACATTCTCTCCAAGATAAGGAAAGGTTGTATTAGAGCTTTGAGACTAAGAGATGGAGAAAGTCCTAATTATAGCTTGTCTAACATAGCCATCTCTGGGGAGAGGACTAAAAAAGAAAAAAATAATTAACTGATATAAGAGTTATATTTGTGGATATAAAATATTTCAAGTTAGAAATGTAATAAAGGTAATAATAAAATTATCCTGATATGAAAAGTTAATGCTATTCAGTACCCAACACTGACTTCACTTAAATTCCATAAGAATTAGGAATAATTGTTCCCCCAACAAAACCAGCCAAATTTCCATTTAAACTATATAAAAGAATGACTAAAAAGTAAATAATAATAAAAAAAGGACTAAAAAGTTCATGAAACATTCTTCAGTTGACATATTTTCAAGGAAAAAAACCATCAGACTCAATGTAATATAGGCTTAGTTTCCACAAACATAAAAAAATAAAAACTCTTCTAATACTTTTACTTAGAGAGATTTTTGTAAGTTGGACCAGGCTGGGAACAAATGCTCATACCCCAAGCCTAGAACAAGCAGAAAAATTTCCTTGGGCTAAGAAAAGGCTAGCTGCTATGCTCACCACATAGGATACTAAAGTCAGAGGTATGCATTATACCAGGCAAACTTGAACTGAACTACTAATCAGAGGCTACAGTAAAGGAGTGACACCAGAACAGAACACAAGTAATGTTCTCTTCACAACAGAGTGGAACTTTCCTAATACCAAATCATATAAAGAATGCACCTGGGGCGTGGTGGGGTGGAAAGAGGCCAGGGAAAAACTTACTGCTGAAAGCAACAGAAGTACAGCTAACTGCAAGCTAAGTTCATATCATAGCAGAAACAAACAATGAACAGAAAGATCAGTGGCAAAGTGTGGTATTGGCTGGGACTATTGTTTGAATCAAATTCCGTAAAAGTTGTAACAAGCAAGGCCCAGAGAAAGGTACCCGATGCTCACTAGACTGAAACCTAAGTGTAATTAGAACAAAAATATAACAGCCTTCCCGCCCCCCCCCACCCCCCACCC